TGTAAAAGGGCCCAACTGCCATCTTGTTCTTGCCTCCTGTGTGCCATTAAGTGGCTGGCCCCTCTGTAAGCCCATAGCGTGGTGGGAACTGATGCCCAGGGCCTCCCCTCCCCCTCCCAAGGCTTGGAGGGAGTGGGGGAGTCTGGGAGGACAGGGAGCCCCTTCCCTCTCCCTCAGACGGTGGCCGCGTTCCTGCTCCCAGTCTGCAGGGGGAAGCAGAGCCCCAGGAACCCCGGCAGCTGGTGGCCTGGGCCCATCACTGGGCCATTTCTCTGCAGGCTCATTTGTCACATTACAAGGCTTACGGTGGGGGGAAAAGAAAAAAGACTCTGGTTTGACTTACTAGCTTGAGCCCGTGTACCCAGGACTCCGGGCCCCTCCCCGTCCCCCTGCACCAGGAAGGACAGCGTGTCAGCCCCCAATGGCCAGCACAGAGCCCCCTCACCCCAAGTGACAAAGATGGGCCCTGAGCGGACCCTGTGTTGAGGGACATTGCATTCAGCCGGACCGACAGGGTGAGTCACTGAACCTATCTGAGGGAGCATTTGTTATTTCTCTGAGAATAATTCAGGCCCACAATCCAAGATGCTCTGAAACCCAGGAGCTTGGAGCCGAAATTCATTTGGCAGCGAACACGACGTGGGCTGACTTATCACTTACGGTCTTTACTCCACTTTGTGGGACTCTTCAGACCTTCTGCTGTAGAGTCGAGGGTGGGTGAGGCTGCCCCAGAAGCCACTGAGGATGAAACACAAGGGTCTATCCCTAAAACCTGCAACATCCTCAATTCCCAATCACGTCTGGCCTCAGGATGTCGGACAAGGGACTGTTACCTTGTTGTACCTGCACCCCAGGGTTGTTGTGGGAATTAAATGTGACGGTGCCTGAGGGGTTTAGCACGCTGCCTGGCATGTTGCATTTGAGGAAACTGAGGCCAAGAGAGGGAGGGCAGCAGGGGGTTCCTGCGCTCAGCCATGCAGTCAGCAAGTGCAGAAACTGTATCCTGAGATGAGTCTTTGGACCCCACGTGCTCCTCCTGTGACGCGCGCACTGTGTGCAGAAAACCAAAAGACAAGAAAGAGGATGAGGCAGCTTGCTGTGTGACGTTCGGCAGGTCTCTTGCCCTCTCTGGGCCTTGGTTTCCCCATCAACAGCAAATGAGGTGTTGGACCATGTGATTTCCAAGGGTTCTGACAGTGACGCTTTGGGACCATAATTACAAGCAGCTGAAACATCTGTTGGGTTGACACTGGAGACTTTTGTCCTGATCCGTTTCAGTTTTGAGAGGACACATAGTGTGAAGCTCCTTCCACTCCACACGCAGGTTTTCCTTGGACGTGGAGAGGTGAGGGCTCCAGGCACAGCGAGAGACAAGAACGCATCGTGTGTGGCTGGGTCAACTTGCCCCTTTGTCGTACAGGCAGCAGGGGGTCCGAGCTGCGCGTGGCAATGAGGGCCCTGGGGCAGGAGGGTGAGCCTGCGATGTGAGAACTCAGTTCTGTCAACCAGACAGGGAGGGGCGGGGGGCTTTGAGAGGTCACTGATCCTCTCCCCGAGGAAACAGCTTATAACAGCAGCTGGGACTAGGGCTCTGAGGTCACAGAGACCTGAGTTCAAGTCCAGCTCTGTTGCTTGCTTGCCTCACGCCCCTGGCCAAGTCCCTTCCCTTCCCTAGGCCTTAGTTTATTCACCAAGAGAATGGGGATAAGAATGACATCTCCATGAACAGAGAGGCGGCACGGGGACCAGGCATATAGCAGGCGCTCTGTAAATGTTGGCTGTCGGCTCTCAGCGGCACAGGGAAGGGCTGGATTCTGAAGGACCAGCACAGATGACAGGACGCCCTGAGAGATGACCGGCGGGGTCTCTTGAGCAAGTCACATAATGGCAAAAAAAAAAGTGTGACGATGTGTGTGTGTGGTAGGGCGCTCTGCTAGGCTAAAAGACAATTCAGGGCTCTAACAGCCAGATGTGTGGCACTGGACAGGGTCCTGGACATTTTGGGGGACAGCTGGGGGACATGTGACTATGGCCTGGGCATTAGAGATTAAAGCATATTTGACACAGATTCATCTCAGGTAGAGGCACTGAAAACAAAACAACACAAAACATATTGACACAGAAAGGTGACTGTTAACAGAAAAAGCAGGTAACAAAATAGCATTTACAATATGATCTCATTTTATTGAACAGCACACACACACACACACACACACACACACACACACACAAATACACACGGAGGGAGAGGTGGAAGCTGTTAATAGGTATGATCTCTGCGTGGTAAAAACACAGCATTTGATTTTCTTATTTTTGCATACCTGTATTTTATTTTTTTTCTATAGTGTATATATATATTGTTTATGTAATAGTAGAAAAATTGTAATTTGAAAGCCAAAAACAAGGACCCGGATTCTGCAAGCACATGACCTGCCCCTTCCTGGCAGACAGTGGTGCTAAGAGGTAGCCGAGGAGCTTGTCCCACATTAGCTGGAAGCCGGGAAGGGCTGGGGAAGGGAGCACGGGAGAGGGGTGGGCCACCAGCATCGGTGCTTACGAAGAGCTCTTGCTGAGGAATGAGAATGACAGCACAGAGGCCTCAAGAGGCAAAGGGACCGACTGGGCCAAGCACACTTCGATGGCAGGGCTGGGCCCCAACCGTGCATGTGCCTGCGGACCTGGAGCCAGCTGCCAACTGTGACCGGCTGCTGGTGGCCCACGGGAAACACTCTTTGGGAGGGAAGAATCCTCACCAACAAAAGAACGTGGGTGCAACTGCGGCAGCTACTGTCTTGGCTGCGAGACCGGGGCCAGACCCAGGGATGCCCTGCAAGCTTCGGGCTCTGAGGGTGGGAGTTAAATCCATGGTCGGCTGCAGAGGCTGGGGGCAGCTCCAAATGCTGGCTTGAGACAAATTGCTGTCCCTGGCAAAGGGGATGCTAGTGCTTATGTGACCGCCTCTTTGGGGAGGAAGCTGGGAGGTGGCAGCTGGGTTTCTCCAACGTCAACTCAAGGGATCTCAACCTAGGGGCTTTGGACCAACTGGGTGGGGTGCTTCTAACCAGCTCTGTACACCATTCTGAAGTTTCTGGGCTCTCAGAGACACCCTTATTTTTCAGCACAAGACAGTTAGAATAAGCATTTATTGAGCACTTACTATGTGCCAGGGGCTTTCTGTGTATTTTCTCATTCAGTTGCCATAAGCCTATAAGGTTGGTACTATCACCCTGTTTTCTAGATGAGAAGCTGCGGCCCCCACAGGTGGGCTGGCTTGCCAAGGCTAATGGGTTGGCAGAGCTGAAGCAGAGCCTGGACCACACTTTAGAATCACCTGGGAGCTTTGAAGTTACCGGTGACGGAGTCGCACTGAGACCAGTTAAACCAGAGTATCTGGGGATGCGGCCAGGCATTCCTGGGCGTCTTGTAGAAGCTCCCCAGGTGATTTCAACGTGCAGCTGAGCGTGAGAACCACTGCAGTACACAATGAGGAGTGATGGCTGCATATGCAAACTGTCTGCAAAGGGATATCAAAGACAGGTGGCCAAAGAGCGGCTGGGACCGGGCCCAGGGGGTGGCTGGGTGGAGAGGCTGTGCTGGCCAAGGCACACAGGTGGCTGCTTCGCTGGGGCAAGAGCACTGAGTCGGGCCCTGCCCCAGGAGGGACGTCCTGATCCCAGGGAATGAGAAAGGGGGAAGGCCTCAAGGAGCAGGCAGGCTCTGGGGTCTCAGGCTCTGCCCCCCACTTCAGTTTTACAGCTGTCATGGGCACCTATGGAAGCCCCGGGAAGGCCCCCAGGCCCACCTCCAACAGGCTGCCAACTGGCTGTCAACCAGCATCATCCCTGAGAACAGTGTCTCTGGCCCTGGCTGCTCACTCGAACCAAGTGGGGAGAAAAGTACACATGCCCAGGACCTGCCCTGCCCAAATACATCAGAACCTCAGAGGAAATAACGAGCCTGGGCATGAAAGCCTATAAAATTGCAACGAACCTGCGCCTAGAGCTGTGCCCAGCAGAAGCAGGCTCTGGAATCAGACTGAGTTTGAATCCTGCCTCAGATGCTGATTAGCTGTGTGCCCTTGGACAAGTTACTCAACCTCTCTGAGCTTTGATTTCCTGACCTGTAAAATGGGGCTGAGACTAGCAAATTACACTCTGAAGCTGGAGTAGAGATGAAGAGATGATGTGTGTACAGTACTTAGAGCAGTGCCTGGCCCATGCTAAGTGCTCCGTATTAACATTATTGTTTTATGCACGGTGTTTTAAAGGGCAGGGCCAGGGAACCGCCATCGGTGATGCTGGGCAGGTGTCCTTCCTCTTGCCCTCCCGTTCCCAGCAGTGACCCAGGCAGGGCCCAGAGAGGAGCCTGGGCACAGGGGTGGACATCAGGCCCTGCTCTCTCTTACCCTCTCCCCAGATGACACCAGCTGGGAAAGGTGCCAGCTGCCCCCTAGTGGCCAAGGGCAGACGTGCACTGAGCCATTTCAACCAAATCCTGACATCCCTGCCCCCACCCCCCACCTTTCTGCCCTGCCTCTTGCGGACCTGTGGCTCCCAGGGGTTCTGTGGGCAACGCGATAGCGACACAGCTTCCCGATGGATTCTGCCATTTCAGAAAGAGCCAAGTCGACTGGCGACACGAACCTCAAATAGGCACTGGGGAAATGAACACCAAGAGTCTGTCTTTCCCACCTGATGGTCAGTTAATTTCAGAAAGGAACATTCCAGGAGCTGCTGCAGGTTTTTGTTTCCATGGTTTACTAAAGTCTGTGCATCGGCGGGTGCTCGGATTCCAGAAGGCAGGAAGCTCAACAGTCCCCTCCGGCAAAGCAGCCTGGAGTTGGGCCGGTGGCCTGAGAGCCTCGTCCTGGCAGAAGTGTCCTGGTCCCTTGTACAGCAAGGGCCATCTGGGAAAACCACCCCATCACTAAGACACACGCAGTGACCCAAAGCCCCTAATTCCTTCAACCGCTGAAGAGGTCCACCGAGAAAGCGGCGGGAGAGGGGACGGGGACAGGGAAGGCACACGATGGGCTGGAGTCTACCCGGCCCCGTCTTTCTGGACACGGAGTAGAGCACTGTTTACTCAAGGTCGTTTTATTCCCCCTGTGCCGTCTTTTCTGCAAAGCCCTCAGGTGCAGACTGGAAGGAACTGCACATTGGTTCTGCCTTCGTTCAGCCGCCCCTCGGGCTGGAGGGCAGAGGGCAAAGACCCCCACCCGGACAGCCCCTGGGGGGCCCGTCTAGCCGGACAGAAGTGCAGGTGTGGAAAGTGCCGAATGATTCAGACCAGACGGCGGGCGCCATGGGAGGGAGGTGCGGCAAGGTTCAGCCTGCCAGGGGTCAGGGAGGGCTTCCTGGAGGAGGTGGGGGCAGCCCGGGCCCTGGGAGACAGGGAAGTGTCGAGGCAGAAGGAGAGAGAAGGTACGCTGCTTCAGGACAGACCCCGGCATCCAGGCATGCGACCAAGCCGGCCAGGGAGTCTGCGGGTGAGGGTGCAAGGGCCCAGAGTAGAAGGGTCTGTGGGAGCCGCAGGGAAGGTGGGGAAGCTCCTCGTGTCTCAGGTCTGACGTCTCAGAGGACCCCACCGGGCCCCGTCGCCTGGCTGGCGCGAGAGAACGCAGACCGCGTCTCCCTGGCAGCCCAGCCCGGGGCAGACTCGAGTCCCACCGCGGGGACTGGGGGCCGCGTGCCGTAGCAAAGGCATCACAGAGGAGCTGGGCACCCGCTGGCCAGCACGGAGGCCAAATCCAGCCCCCAGAATAATCCAGAAAGGGTTTCCTGGAGGGGCGGCAGTGTCCTGGGCTCATCTCAGAGGCCACCTAGGGCTTGCCGGACGGGGCCGTCCAGGGAGGCGGCTGAGTGGACGGAGACTCCAGGGGCACCCACGCTGGTTTCCCAGCAGTCAAACCCACAGCCAGTCAGCGCCTGCTTCGTGGCCTCCACCTCGGGTCGCTCCAGACCTGGGGGGAGGGAAGGCAGGTCACCAGTGACGACTGTCCACTCCCTTCGGGAAAGTTCATCCCATCCAAGGAAAAGGCCCAGGGTCCACGTCTTCCTGCCGTGCCTTCCTGCTGTGACCCCACCTGAGCCAACAGGCCTGTGAGGCTCCAAGAGGCCCCCTGCAGCCCCCGCGCGTGCTGCAGCGTCAAGCCCTCGTGCCCTACTGCTCCCTGGGGGTTCGCAGAGCTGTTAAAACACGTGCTCTTGAGTCACCTGGCCTTGCCATGTATTCACCACGCAGCCTCACACAAGCAACTTCCCCTCTCTGAGCCTCAGTCTCCTCATCTGGGAAAGGGGCTAATAATACCTACCCCTCTGGGGTTCCTGTGAGGCTTAAATGGGACAACGCAGGAAAGTGCCTGGCCCAGCACCTGGCACACTGGGCAACTCTCACCATCGTCGTGGGCCCTGAGCTAGGAACCAACAGAGGGGAACATTTGGCGCCTCCTGTATGCCAGGAATGATCCTGAGGGCAGACATGGTGTGTCGGGCAGTGAAACCACCAGGAGCCCCTGGCCGGGTCCCCAGTCACCAGCGCGGGAGATTTCATTCCCTAAGAGACCCACATTTTGTAGCAAGATCAGCCCCCACCCTGGCCACGTCAAGAGGCGGGAGAGGAAGGTGAGGCAGGCACGGAGCGTGACAATGCCCTGGCTGGTCCCAGGCTGGTGGGAGGCTTGGCAGGCATGGAGGTGGTGGTGACAGCCACGGCGACAGCCCACTGCAGCCCCGCCCGGCCCCAGGCTCTCTCTACATGCACTTTTGTCTTTGAATCTGCGCAACGATCTCGCAAGCTAGATATTCCCGTCCTCACTTTACCAGCCAGGAAACGAAGGCCCGGAGCGGTTAATTAGCTCGCGCGAGACCACGCATCAGAGCGGAGACTTGTTCGCAGGCCGCTCCCTTCTCCCAAGGGCATTCTCCGGACGGAACCCTCATAGAAGCCCAGGCTGGTAACCTGGCCCGCTCCCCCGCACCCTGGTACCTGGCTTGAGAAGTGTGATGCCGCAGCCGCCGCCGCCTGCACCAGTGAGCTTGCTGTGCAGTCCACGCGCCATGGTCACCCGGCAGAGCTGGTCCAGGGAGGCGTGGCCCACGCCAAGGGCGTTCAGGTGGTGCTGATTCATGTCGATGAGCTCCTGCAGGAGAAGGTGCAGGCGGTTCCTGCTTGGCCTGCCTGAGGCTGAGGCCCTCTGCCCGCCTGCCCGTCTGCCCGTCTGCCCTGTCCATCTGACAGCTGTTGCTCTGGGACAGCTAACGGCTTTGACCACCTGGCACACCGTCTCTCTCCCCTGGTGAAAGGACCCCTGTTTCCTGCAGGACTTCCCATGGGGCTTGGATGGAGCTGAGCTCGTATTCTAGGCCCGGCCACAGAAGCCTCTGCCTCGGTGACTGGTCATGGATGGGCATCTGGGCCAATCAGTATTTTCTCTTCCTCTTTCCACTGGAGCTGCTAATTGACTAGTTGACTTCAGACACAGGCTGCCAAAATTATCTGCCCTGCCGCATGGTCAGAGACTGCATGGAAGATGGAGAGATTTCTGACCACATTGTTTCAGCCCCTAGATCAAGCTATTCCTGAAGCCGTTTACTTCTGGTCTTCTCAGTTAGGAGCCAATAAATTCCTTTTCTGCCAAAGCCTAGTTGAGATGGATTTCTGTCATTTGCAAAAGTCTCAGATAATATGTCACCCTATAGATGCCCCAGGGACTGATTTCAGAACAAGAACCGGGCTGTAGTTCCAGCAAGGTCACGAGTGGGGAAACAGCTAAATGTTTATCTAGGTTTCTTCAATTCTGCATAACAAAATTCCTGCTCTCCAAGGACCAAACAAGGTGTACACGGATGAAATAACAGCAGCAGCAGCTCCCACCACGCAGGCACCCACCATTTACATTTCATTCACCAAACGCACACAACGTGCCGGGGCTCTGAGGATGATGATCCGGCCATACTTCCTGCCCTTGGGAAGTGAAGAACGCGGGATTTGGAGTCAGGTGGGCCTGGGTTTGGGTCCCAGCTCTGCCCCTTCTTGGCTGTGTGTCCTTAAGCCAGGTCCTTGGCTCTGAGTCTGTTTCCTCCCTTATAAACGGGGTTGTGTCTGCCTGATTGCCATGTGTCTGAAACGGAGTGAGTCTTTTGTACGATGTCGGGCATGAGCTAGGTGCTCTGCCAATAGTGGCTGCTATTAGTGTTTCTATGGATACGCTGCCATCATCCCCACTTTACAAAGGGGGAAACTGAGGCTCAGAGAGGCGAGTGACTTACTCAAGGTCATTAAGCTAGTAAGGTACCAAGTTGGCACTGGCAGCCAGGTCTGGCTGACGTGAAGCTCCTGTCTACCCTGCCCTCGAGAGCACCCTCGGCATTCCTGCCACCCACTTCTGCAGGGAGCGAGCAGGGTTCGCGGTGTGCGGCTTGACAGCGCGAAGCTCTGCTCCAAGGCGCCGAGAACGCCTGTGCGCCACGAGTTGCCAATCACTGAGACATCTCTGCTGGGGCCCACTTGGTTCTCGCACGTGGGGACGGCTGGTCGGGCAGGGTTGGGGCGTCCCCCACAACCCACCTCGCACCCCCCGGCGCTTTTGACAAACGAGCAGACAGGCTTGATGGCCCGGTGGCAGCTCCCGGTGCCTTTCACCGGCCCGGCAGGCTGGATGTGAAAGAAGACTTCTGGGGGTCTCTCTCTGTGCCTGAGCGCCAGGTGTCACGTTGCTGAGGCAGGTTCCAGACACCTGTCACATTCTGATCCAAAATCTGTCAAGGATCGGATGACAGGTTGTGACACAGGAGAACAGCTCGCTGGTTTGAGTGCAAAGCTGTCCAGGAGCTGAACTGCACATTTCAGTGGCTGCCACAGCCAAAAATATACAATGTATAATCAACGTGCTGTTCTGTGGCATTCTCTGGGGGCTCAACAGGGTGTATTTTAGGCAGTGCTCTATCATTATTAATTTCCTACTCAGGGGGACTGTGTTCCCTCCTTTCTATGTGGAAAGAATTAAGAGCCAGGACGACAAAGGCTGGGAGAGTGAGGGCAAAAGCACAGGAATTAGATAGAGGACCTGCACCTGGCACATAGTAGGTGCTCATTAAAGATCTGTTGAAAAAAGGAATAAGCCAGCCAGTCAGTTTGACCCCCGACTCAGCCATTCACTAGCTGGATCACCTTGGAGGAAGTCACTCGCTTTCAGCCTCAGTTTTTACATCTGTAAAATGGGACAAGGAACCTATTTCACAGGTAGGTTATTATAAGGATCAAGGGAGAAATCATCTGTAAAAGGCTTGGTTTAGCAGCAGCTTCCACTCAGTATAGGGGCTGCAGACTCAAACGCCTACAGGGATCAGGGAGGTAGCAGACAGTGATTGCAGCAGGTACTAAGTTACAGAGGGGTGGGGGCCCTGGTGAGATGGAGACAGCATGGCCCCTCTGGAGGGGGCCCCCTCCTGAACCTCCACTTGACAGCCACTGCTTGGCCACACCGGCCAGGCCTGCCTGATCATCTCCTTCTTTAAGGGCAGCCCGATGGCTTTTTAATGTCAGTCCACACTCACCAGGCCAGATGGACCGTGTCCGAGGAGGAGCTTGTGGCGCACCAGGCATCATGCTTGCGTGTCACCCACGGGACCCCTGAGCGTCGTTAAGACACTCCAGTGAGGCCATACGGCAGGCAGAGGTAGAGCCAGGACTCAGACCCAGGCCTGACCAAATCCTAAGTACGAGGTCTCAACCTCTACACTAGAATTATGCAAATGGAGGCAGCTGGGCCTCCAACGATGAGAAGACAACTTTAGGCCTGTCTGGCCCAAAGCAGGCAGCTGACAAATAGTTGTTGAATGGACACATGCAGTTAGCACTGATAGCAGGAAAGAGGCGGCCAGGTATGAAATTGCTCCTGGACCAATAGAGAACTCTGTTAGCAATATCTCTTGTCTACCCACGTGGGCCGGAGCCCCTTGAACGTGTGACCCCAGATCTGGCCTACAGTGCTCACCACGGGCCAGGCACTGCCCTGAACTCCTTCCAGGGACTCTCTCCGTGACTCAGAATCCCCTGGGAAGAGGCTTTAAGACAAGACATGCTCGTGTGCACACACCAACTCTGGGCCTGAGCCCGGGGCTCCTGACAGCATGGGCCACAGGCAGGGCCTGGCCTCTGTGTTTCGGCTCCCGGGGGATCTGAAGCACAGTCCAACTGGGGAGCCACTGCCTAGGTAGTGGTGAGGAACCCTGGCTCCTCCAGACGGGCTCTTACTTCCAGCACGAGGTACTGCTCCGGCGCCGGGGCGGCCGCCATCTCTCCCAGCACGCGCTCGCACTCCAGGGAGATGGCATCTATGGAGGTCAGGACAGGGGCCACGATCTCTGGGAACTGGAAGAAAGGGAAGAAACGGCCTGTGAGGCTGGGCGGCAGGCAGGCACAGGACAGCTGCCCCAGCAATGTGGTGAAGGTGTCCCTACAACCACACCACCCTCCGGGGAAACCTCCTCTCCTTCCGGCCCGGTCTTGGCCTGGCCAGCTGCCCCCAGCTTCAGGAGGGGGATTCTCGCCGCAAAGCCAGTGTGTCTAATGGACCCGATCGCTGTCCTTTCAGGAATCCCTGCCCTGCCTCCGGGCCAGGGTGTGGGCACAGATGGCACCTTCTTTTCTGCCAAAACCATTTTCCCAAAGGCTCCCCACACCCACCACCCACTATGCCCCTCCATAACCCAGCAGCCAGGGGGAGACATCGAAAATCCCAATGGGATAGTGCCATGGCCTCGCATGAAACCTGCCCGGGAAGAGAAGCACCTTGATCAGCCTGGTCCTGACGCCAGCCACAAGGGCCTTGGTGCTGCGAGGGACCTTGGTGTTGGTCAGCAGGATCTGGAGGGCTGGTGGCCTGTGGGGTGAAGAGGAGGCAGGTCCACACTGAGCTCAAGGGCTAGGAGCAACCCAGGACGCCACCCCGCCCTGACACAGAGGAGGAAGCAGAGACCCTGGCAAGTGACGCTGGTTTGGGGGAAAAGAGGGGTCCTGCCGCTGGCCACAGCTGTGTCTCCATCTCAGCCCACAGGTGGGTGGACACCCTCGACTGGCTGCTCATTCACTCATTCATTCGCTCAATGTTAACTGGGCAACTACTATGTCCTAGGCACAGCTTGGCCTGGGGGCAGGGGAGGAGGGGGGGAAGTCCCCTTCGTGATGCAGAAGCTGCAAACTGGGGATGGGTGAGAACCAACAAGGACAAAAGCAGGAAGGACAAGTATTTCTGGCCTGCGGAGCAGCCTACATGAAGCCCAGATGGGTAGAACATGGCACATTCGTTGTTCAAAGTGGCTACAGCAGAGAGTGCAAGGAGGGGCCGGGGCTCAGTTGCATGTGCCACCTCGGGGAGCTGGAGTTTCAGAAAGACAAAGCAATAGGCCCCGGGACGGACACCCAGGCTAGCTGGTACAGGCAGGCTCTGCCCCGAGACAGCAACTGCGGCAGGCGCGAGGGGAGGGCAGGGCTGCCCAGGAGGCCGGCTCCCAGCACGCTGAGCCCCTTCTTGCCCCATGGGATGGTGCCGGGGCCAGCAGGCTGGTCCAGATGTGCTTATAGCATCAGTCGCCCGTGGCTGCCCCACGTAGAACAGATTGCCCCAGGCAGCCAGCCGACTCCCCGGAATGACCCTGCCGTCCTCGCCTGCCCCCGACGAGCTGCATAATCCCTCCTAAAGCCACAATCCCAATTGTCCTTGTGGTTAGCTGTCTTCCAGGGCTTGAGCCAACGTTTGTCGTCCAACCTGCCCGTCCGAGAGGGCGGGGCACTCGGATGAGCTCTGGCCCGAGACAGCTGGAGACGGGCCGAGCCCTGATGCCTTTATTCGCTCTCTTCACAATCCGCAGCTGTAAAATCCAGTAGGGCTGGGAAAGGCTGCCAGAAACCTGCTTTATCTCGCCGCCCACGAGCCCATGAAATTAATATCGATTCTCAGCCCTGGAGGCTGGCGCTTTTTTTTTTTCCAACTTTACAAAAGATGAACATTCTATTTGGCTTTTCTCTTCCCTTCAAAGACAAGCCATTCCTCAAAAGGGCAGTGCTCTGGGAGGCCGCATCTTGATCCACTTCACAGACAATGCATTTTGTTACGGAGAAGCACCACGCGTGGTCTAGGGGAAAAGCTCCCCTTTGAGCCATCGGCGGGATTAATGCGGAGTCCGACCTCCCGGTTGCTCAGAGAACCCGCCATCTGCTCACCGAGACACCCTGTAGCAAGCGGCGAAGGCCGCTTTGCTCTGTGCTCTTGTCCCTGGCCCTGCTGTGTTTCCGAAAGGCACTTATGACTGCCTGCCCTGCTCTCCCAGCGCCACTGATATTCTGGCTGTCTCCTCCCACAAAAGCAAGAGCTCCATGAAGGCCGGGCTTTGTTTTGTTCCTTGCTGAGGCCCCAGTGCCCGGCACATAGTAGGTGCTCAATTAGATTTGTGGATTGGCTGAATACACTTGGTCAGCAAAGCGCTCAGCACCTTATAGACACCGTCTGATGGAGGCCTCGGGAGAATGGCTCACCTGAGGGCACCGAGCTGGCAGGTGGCAGAGCTAGATTCGAACGCGGGCCTGCGAACCCCAGAGCCCCTGCCAGCACACTACCAACAACAGGCCATTGCCCTACCCCTGCCCCACGCTGAAAACCCTCCATCGTTCATCCCGATTCCCCCAGCACATTGTGCACACGGGGTGCCCAGGCCACGTCTTACGGCTTTCTAGCCCCAGAGCCTGATCCAGTGCTCAGGACACAAGTGGCTCTGATGCCACTGCCACTGTGAACGATTCCCCAGACCTGCAGCCGCATTTAGGACACCACTCGCTGTCCTCCAGAACAGCTTCAGAACTCTCTGGATGCTTCTCTCTGATCATGACAGTTGTGACTGCCTCCCCCAGTAGACCGATGACTCCTAGGGGCGGGTGCAGGCATCTCCGAATCCTCCATGCGCCCCCCTCCGGTTCGGCATGCATAGGACAGCTGGCAGAGCCGACCTCCAACCCGGGCTCCACGGGCCCCATGGGCAACGAGTGCTGAGCAGCCAGCGGAGCCTGCTCCGCGCTGCTACGTGGCTCCTGTGAAGAGCAGGGGTGGGCACCGAGGGTGGCGCTGCCCTCCAGGGGATACTGGGCAATGTCTGGAGACACGTGATGGTCATAACTGAGGGGAACTACTGGCATCTAGCGGGTAGAGGCCGGGGTGCCTGTAATGCACAGGACGGCCCCCGCCACAAAGAACGGTCCAGCCCCAGATGTCAACAGTGCCAAGGCCGAGAAACCCTGACGTAGAGCCTCAGAAAGGTGGGCTCAGCCCCTGGAAGCTGACAGCGCTGGGACAGGAAGATCCGCGAGGTACAGGCAGAGGTGCGGCACCATGGCCACACCAGGCTGTTGGGCGCCAGCAGAGTGGCCCAACAGGCGGTGGCAGCGGGCCAGGACCTGCTGCTCATTTGCAAGGAGGACGGTCCCTGGACTCTCACCGAGGTGGCCCGGGACAAACGATGCCAGGCAACCTGATCGAGGGCTCAGGGAACAGCCAAAAAACCCGGCTGCATCTTGCCACGTGTTTAATTCCCTGCACCCAGCATTCCCACTGTGGGTGCTGACGGAACAGAGGGTGTTGAGGTTTGACATGCACGTGATTCCAGCTGCCCCAGAGGGAAGGGGTGTAGAAACGTATAAAACACGCTGAGAGGTGCCAAACGTCACTTCCGCTCTGAGCCCCTCACAAACCTGCCTTGCGTGCCTCTGTCACGGCGACTCTCGTGTTGTTTTGTGGTGGCTTTTGTGAGCGTGTGTGTCCCTGGTCCCCCGCCTCCCCAGCAGCAACTGGAAACTGCGCCCAAGGTTCTCCTTTATGTTTCTAGGCCCTAGTCCAACCTTGTTCGCAAAATGAATAGACGAATGGATGAATCAGTGAGCAGCCGAGGGGCTGGGGGCACAGCCCCCTCCTGGAAGGTGAAAGGACAGCCACATGGGACTTTCTCTCTAACCTCTCTGCAGTGGAGGAGGAGAGTGCAACTGCCAGGCACGGTGAGGGCCAGCCAGGGACACCCACCTCCCGTGGTATTAATACTTCCCCAAGACGCACACGCTGACGCGGCCCTGCTGGAATGCGCCGCTCTACCCACGAATTACCTCTTTAAGGGTGAGATCTTCCCCTGCTGGTACCGGAGTGCTCCTCCTAAAGAGAAAAATGAGCGGGTCAGAACTGTGGGAAAAGCTATAGACTTTTGCCTCTTGGCGGAGACTGGACTTCGGGTTGGGGTTAGAGTTTGGCCCCATCCAGGGAACGGGCTAAACAACATAACTAGTCATGTCAGCTCCAGTTACAAAAGGTCCAGGAGGGCAAGAAGGTCCCCTCAGCTCTGCCAGGAAGCTGTCACCAGGCCATGGGCTCATGGGTGCCTCTCTTCCCTGCAGGCCACCTGGTAGAGGTGGGGCCCAGGATGCAGGAGTCCTCACCAGAGGGGGCGCCGCTTGCGTGGTCTGTGATCTCCAGGGCAACGGCTCTGCTGCTGGACCGTGCAAACCCCCCTGGGGCTCACGGAAGCTGCAGTTCCCCGGGCCCCAGCTGCACTCCCAGAAGTTCTGAGTCAGAGGGTGTGAGGTAGACCCCCAAGATTTGTCCCATTTCCCCTCTAAAACAGGAAAATGCTACTTTCCTCAGAATCCATTGATTCTGTTCAACCTAAACCAACACAGATGCCTGGACATTTACGATTGCAGTAAGAAGTTTAAAGGTAAAAATAGAGAAAGCAAACTCGAGGCAGCACCTACCCCAGGTGCTGACGGCATTGTCCACTCCGGAGGGGTTCCCATGAATCACTCTCTCCCCCTGGAAGGCCCACTTGTTGATCAATTCCAGATCCTGCTCGGTCCACCTGAAGACACAGAAGTGCGTCTTTACTGTGGGGGGTGGGCGCCAGGGGTCACAGCCTGTGCTTGGTGGAGGCCAAGAGGCAAAGGAGCTTGGGCCCTCAAGCTCAGAAAGAACAAGACAGCTCTGAACCTTCCCGTCCCTCTGAAACACGCCTGGGGCAGTGGAAAGAACCGGGCTTCGGTTTCCCAAGGTCCTGCTTTGCCTCTTACTAGCTGAATGCCTCTGGGCCGGCCACCTTACCTCTCTGAGCCTCACTCTCCCCAGCTGGAGAACGGAAACTCCACCCTCCTCGGAGGCTGGCTGCACGTGTGCCTAACGCTGGCAAAGCGCCTTGCAAGGCGTCAGGTCAGCGGGTGGTAATTATGACCATACCAGCCCTCTGCGTGAGCACCCACCCCCCAACAAGCCTCCCTTTAAGAGCTAGCAGAGGTGCGACTGCTTCCCAAGGCCCTGCAAGGAGGTCCAAAGCACAATCATTATAAATACAAATTCTGGGTGCCCTGGACACCCCTGGGGGGCCAGGCTGACGCCAGCCACCTGCGGCTTTCTCCCTAGCACGTGGCCTCGCTGCCTTCGACGGAGCAGGTGTGGGCTCGCAAGCGGTTCCAGTGACCAGACCCAAAACACACGAGTAAAGAACCAGGGGAAACGGTCAGCCCCGCCCCCTCTTTGCTCCTGGCGCTCAGCTCCCGGGGAGGGAATTCTGGGGATTCCCTTCCCCATGAAACAGCAGAAGCCACGGGGGGGTTTAGTGATGTCTGAGAATGGCGTGGCTCAGTGGCAGAGTGATGGATTGCGCAGGGGGCCCGCTGTGAATGCCATTCTGCCACTGACTCATGGGGCATCCTTGAGCAATGGCTTCGCCTCTGACGCTGTTTTCTCATCCCTTAAACAGGGGTGGCAGTGTCTGTCTCACAAGGGCTATGGTGAGATGAAGGAAACGCACAGGTGCTTTGTACAACGCCCAGGAAATAGCACGCGCTCCCCCCTAGAGCGGCCACCTGGGATCATAGCTCCTTGGTGTACTCATAGCCCAGTCGGACCACTCCTTTGCTGTGGATCCTTGGGCAGGTCAATTACCCTCTCTGAGTCTCTTTCCACATCTGTCAATTGAGGATTTTCTTGGACCTACAACTCACAAGGTAGCTGGGAGGCTATGATTAGTAAGGAGTTCACACTGGCCAATGGTATCGGAAGCATCGTGGTAGGTGTCTTCTCAAATGGCCCATCTCCTGTGACTCTCTCAGTAACCTGACAGGGAAGGTACAGTTATTATCCTGTTTCTTACAGAAGGGGAGACTGAGGCTCAGCTGGGGAAGACAGCATCCAGAAGATCACAGCACCACTCACTGCTACAACAGAACCACATCTGCAGACTTGGAGCCCAGGCTCTTAACTACAAAACTTTACAGTGCCAACAAGATTCCCTCACTCCTTCATTCAGTATTTACTGAGCAGCTACCATGTGCCTGTGACTAAGTCCACAGCAGGGAGCAAAACAGACTTCTTGGAGCTTGGAGTCTGTTGGAGAAAGTGGAGGTCAGTGAGCAATCAGTATTTAACTACAAACAGTTACGCCACAATAGTTAAGTGCAAAGCGATGGTGCTTCTGTAAGAGCAATGCAGGCTGAATGGGATACACCCCATTCTGACTGCAGGGTGCTGAGGGACAAGGGACAGTCAGCTAGGCAAGCTGTAGGGGACAACATTCCAGCCAGAGTGACCAGCTTGTGCAACACCTGAAACTGGACCAGAGCTGGCTGGCCCTTTCCAGGGACCAAAAGGCAGCAGACTGAGAAGAAGTGAGCTATCGGCGGGGCAGGTGACCTCGCCAAGGCCCAGCCTGCTCAGCAAATGCCCGTCTTCTTCCTACTCTGCGCACAATTCATTCTTTGGGGAGCTGAGACTCAAATCTTCAAGGGAGACCAGGCTCCAGTCCTTTCTGACTCGGAAATGCCAGAGCGGCGGGGCAGAGCGGGGCAGCGCAGGGATTGGGGTCTGCTCTCCCCGAGGGCTCTGAGGAGGAGGAACTCCTCTGCTTTTTGAAAGGCGGAGCCAGTCGGCCGGCCCGTGAGCGGGTGTCTGTTCAGGGACCCAGGGCAGCCAGGCCTTCACGGTCTCGGTCCCAAGCAGCAATTAGCACACGGTGGTGAGCAGCTGTGTCGAAGCCTCTCTTCTAAGTCCCCATCTTATCACAGGCTCACCAAACACCAAGGCTGCTGGAGGCTCCCGAGGGAGCCTCTGGTCCAGCTCCTAATTTTCAGCTGAGGAACTGGAGCCCCAGAGAGAAGGGATTTTCCAAGGCCACGCGGCACGTTAACGGGCAAACCTTACTGAAATTCTGGTGTTACCTACAGGTGCCCTCTCTCGTTACCCGCTGCGCTCCCCCCGTAAGGAACAGCGGCTCCTGCTTCTTCCCACACACGGGACCATTCAGGCAACTCCGGAGAAAGCTCCGAGACAGACCATCGACAGTGCCCAGATCCCCTGTGGCCTAGAAGGATCAAAGCGACCTCTGGGCTCAGTCTGAATTCAACTGTATTTGAACCGACGTGTTTCCGACAAGGAATTATTGGATGTGACACTGGAGCTCCGAGGGACGCAGTGACCAGGCCAAGGACCCACGGCGAGTGAATGCAGATGTGGGAGGGTTCGTCTACTTACTGCTCTCTACATCCTGACTCAAGTTCTTCCTGCCACCCATGGGCACTTGGACCCACAGGCTGGGGCAGCAGAAGTGGTTCAGTGCAGCAGAGGAGAGCTCAGGCTCTGGATTCCGACCGCCTGGGTTCAAATCCCGCTCTGCCGTCACTCGCTGTGCAGCCCCGGGCCAGCCGTTTGGCCTCTCGGGGCCTCAGCTTCCTCGTCTGTAAAATGGCCACCATGGCAGCTCTCACCTCCCAGGGCGGCGGGGGGTCTCAGCGGAGAAGCTACACTTGGGTCCTATCGTACAGGACGATGACCGGGGTGAGGGCCGTGATTACCTGCTGACGTCATCCCCGTCCTTCAGCGGGTTCGGGATCTCCTCGCAGGCCGTCAGGAGGGCGGCTGCCAGGCACACCGAGTACGCAGCACTGGAGCCCAGGCCCGCCCCGGTGGGCAGCTCTGACCACACCACGATGTCCAGGCTCGGCAGGGCCCTGAAACACACCAGGGTGCCAAAGGTGACTCTCCTGAAGAGAGGTGAGGTGGCGTGAGGTGCCAGTGCTGAACCACGGGCCGAGGCCCAGGGCCGGACGTGGACAGGGCCTGACGCTTAGCGTTCGGCCCGGATTTCTAGAGATTTCATGACCCCAGAGGCGTCCCTACTGCACGGCAGGAACTCATGCTGGAACACGCAACTAAAAACCAGGTCCCGATTCATTTGAATCGCTGTGTTGTGCCACCAGGGTTCCTCCTAAAAGTGCCTGGCAAACCGCCAACCCCTTCATCCAACCTTCTTCATGCCCGCGCCACACGCTGGGCTCTCCCCTGGCGTGGGCTGGACCCTTTGCCTACGGAAGTCTCACGCCTCTTCATTCCCCAGAGAAATTTCCAAGAGCTTATCAGTGCCGCTTCCACTGTGATGCTTTCCCTGACCACCCACATAGGCCGTTCCTGTCTCCCCTCCCAGGCCCCCCGGCATGCGACTGCCCCCCACTGCTGTGCACCTCGACTGTGTGTTCACGGGGAGGCCTCTCCCACCAGTGTCTCCCAACCATGTGTGACATGGGGCTGCTTGTGATCACTGGAAAATTCGGCATCGCTGCGTCCTACGTGTACTTCCCGCAAGCGAGAACTGTCAAACTTTGTGTTCAATAATTCCCACTAAGTACTTTTCCCATTTTCCAAATATAAAAATTATAATACTGGATGTGCCTTATCAAATTATATGTGCCCACCCTACCCAGCGTGGGAGGTTCTAGAATGTCCCCCACCCACTGAAGGGGACATGCCCCTCTTAAGTTGAAAATCCCTGCTTTGGACAGCAAGTGTCAGGCCATTTACGAACGCGTCCTCCGCGTAGCGCCGGCCACTGAACCAGCATCTGCTACTCGAGGGAAGGCCAGCCCTTGATGTTTTTCCTGTGAGTTCTGGACAAAAAGAATAGTGAATACTCATTATGTGCCAGTTCCAGTGCTGGGCTCATGTTATGTGTATTTCTAACCCTCTCTGTACTTTTCTGGGAAAATTATTATTAATAATAATAGCTAACATTTCTCAAGCTGCATGCCAGGCACTTTAGATAAATTAACTCATTTAACTTCATAACTACCCTGTGAGGTAGGTACTATTACTATACCCATTTTATAGATGAAGAAGCTGAGGCTCAGACAGGATAAGCACCTCAAGCTAGCTAGTAAGTGGCGCAGCTGGGGTGTGAACCAACACCCTCTGCTCCTCAAGCTCTTGCTCTCTGTCACAGGTGACACAACCGCAACAGTCCTGGCCCCTCTAGGAGCCGGCTTGCCCAGGGGCACATAGCCCGGATCTCATTGTAAAGGGTAGGGTGAGCGCAGGCTCCACTCTGCTGATGGAAGAGTTTCCCAGGAGCCAGCGAGATGTGGAATTAAGGTACCACTATAGGCAGGGCGCAGGAGAGGCCACACTGAGGGTCCGAGAATGGAATGTGGCTTTGGTTCTGCTGAATCCAAGAGACCATGGGAGGAAGTGTGGGGTTAAGCTGTAGGTGTTAGTATTAAAGTGGACTGAATTAGCTTCCCAGCCTGCTAACTTCACCTCCCTGAGTCTCAGTTTCTCCAGGTATAAAATGAGGACAGTGTCTCTCTCCGGGGTGGCTGTGAATGTTAAAAGCATTGCCTGGCAGGGTGCCTGGCACAGGTGAGGATGATGGCTGTTGTTCTTGAAAACCAAGAAGGGAGCACGTGTACTCTCCAGCAGCGACAAGAACAGAAACCCTTCCCGTTTCTCCGTGGGAGGCGGAATCTGGACTCCTTCCCCAGACCACACACACACACCTCTGCTTCCGGCAGATGGACAGGTATAAGTAAAGGAAGGCCAGCACAGCCAGGCGCTCGGTGACAGCACAGTCCTCAGGGAAACATGCCACCTCCTTCAGCTTCTCCACTTGTTCTGGGGTGGGCGCTGTGACGTCACCTTGTCCTGTCCCCCAGGCAAATAAGCAAACACAAGTGGGTGAGAGGGCACTTTTATAAACAACAGAAAACAGAAAATCGAGTAGTTATTGGAATCAGAATGTGGATGGACACGAATTTATGGTCCAGGCACCACACCTAAGTGTATCCATCAACTTCAGGCAGACTTGGGTTTGAATTCTGACTGTGCCATTTACTGGCTGTGTGGCCTCGAGCATGTGACTCGACCTCTCTGAACCTCAGTTTCTCTACTTTGTAAAATAGGGATAACAACAATATCACTTCTCAGGGTTGTCATGAAGATAAAGTTAAACAAGGGATGCAAAATTTTTAGCACAGCTCCTGGCCATGTAGTAACTGCTTAATTAATTGTTTAAACACACACACACACACACACACACACACTGTTAGCTTAACACTGCTAGTTTCACCTTCCATTGCACAAAACTAAAATCAAAGGGAGCCTAAGTTATTCCCCAAATATTTTCTTCTCCCAAAAGATAATTACTGAGAACAGGACACTCAAATAAAACCAGTAAACACGAGATGTTGCTTGGGCAGGAAAGGTGAGGTAGCAGGTTTTTTTCCAGTGATATGTAAGAGCTTGGGCCACTTTCCTTGGGGATACCAAGGAGGCAGAGCAAGTCTGACCAGCTTACCTCTAAAAATCACTGCCTGAGCCTCGGGTCAAATTCTAAAGGGAATGGGAAATAGAGCTGGGTGTGTTTGGTTAGGAAACTTCAGGGCACCTATGAGGTGCCCAGTAAATACGTGTTGAATGAATTCATGATACATCCAAGACAGCCGAGCCAGTGATGTTATTGAGAGCCCAGATCTTTCAGAGCTCTGTGATGGAGATGGAACAGTTGTTAGGAGCCTGGGCTCCGGGGTTAGAAAGACCTGGGTCTGAATCCTTTCTGCACCACTAACAAGCTGCGTGATCTGAGTCATTTCACCTCTGAACCTCGACTTTCGCAACCATATAATGGGGAATGAATAACACTGCCTACGACATGCTTATCAGTGCCTGGCACACGTAAATGCCTAATGAAAGTTCACTGTGTTTCTTACTATTAGGAGGGAACGAAAAGACATTGAAAGAAAGATGGTGAATCCTTGCAACCTAGTAGACAACGTCTCCAAAGGCTCCAATTCTTTTTGTCTTCTACTCGAACAAGACAAACAAGACCTTTCCTATGTACTGCACGTGGCATTGCAGCCCTGGCGCCCACCTCCAACCCTCTGAATCCTCACAGCAGCCTCAGTCAGACGACACAACTCTGCCCACTGAGGCCCAGGGGGTTAAGTGACCTGCCCAGGCCTGCACAGGGAGTGGGAGTGTTCTCAGACATGTTCCACCACACCTGCCTGCTTCCATCCTGTGCTGCTGACTATAAAAGTAGCAGCTGGTTCTCAGGGGACATTTCTGGCCTGGTTGGGTAGCCCTGTATGCCATGGGAAGCAAGTTTCAGGTGCTCTGGCTGGCCGTTTTCTGATGTATGCTCCAAAGCAGTGGCTCTTAACTGAGGGTGACCTTGGAATCGGCCAGGGGAACCCCTTTCACCACCGCTACCAACTCTCACTAGAAGAGGGGTAGGGCCAGGAATCCATCTATGTTGGTAAATATTAAAGCAACGGCAACAAAAACTTCCCAGGTCATGCCAAGGCACAATGGGGTTGAAAATGCTTGCTTTAAAATGAGGATTTTTAACTCTTACTCCATGTGCGTGTAACCTATGGGAGTGGCTCTGGCTTCTTTTGGGGAGCAGGAAGCAGGTATCCAGCGTTCGGGTGCAATTCGGGAAAAAAAACCCTAGAAGATTCTCATTTGCCCCACCCTGGCTGAGAAACACTGCTCCAAACGAGGAGGCATCGGCCCAGAGAGGAGACAGCTAATTGAGAACAGAAAACAAACTCCAGCTCTTGGGCAGGCAGTGACTCCACTGCTGGAAAGAGCTGACCTGCTTATGAGTAGCTGAAACATGCCCAGTGCTATCAGAAATTAGCACAGAGGCCTTTATTTATTGGCATTGAAAGACAGTCCTGACACAAAGAAGAAAAAATACACATTTCTGAATGGTTTATATGGCCTGACCCAATTTTGCTTAAAAAAACAAGATATTTCTCTATCCCAATCAATCTCACTATCCATCAGAAAATAATACAGAATGATTAATACCAAAATGCTTAGAGTCATTATTAGGGGGAAGAAGGGCAACAATACGTGATTTTTTTTTTTTTATTTTTACTTACAGTTGCTCAGTATTAACTGCATTTTCCAACAATAAGTTTAAGTTACTTTTATGTTTAATATATTTTTTAAGAGGCAGGGTCTTGCTCCGCTGCCCAGGCTGGGGTGCAGTGGCACTATCACAGCTCACTGCAGCCTCAAACTCCTGAGCTTAAGCAATCCTCCTGCCTCAGCCTCCCAAGTAGTTAGAACCACAGGTGTGTGCCACCACACCCAGACAATTTTTAATTTTTTTTGTAGAGACAGGGTCTTGATATGTTGCCCAGGCTGGTCTCAAACTCCTGGCCTCAAGTGATTCTCCCACCTTGGCTTCCCAAAGTCCTGGGATTACAGGCATGAGCCACCATGCCTGGCCATTTTTAAAAATAATTTTTAATTATACAAGATGCCAATATATTCTCCTTGTTAAAGACATTATAGAGGGTAAGGCTCTTTTTGCCCACTCCCAGTCTGTAGGATCCTCCCAGAGAAACTGATCACCATGGCCAGTTTGATGTTTATCCCCTAAGACCTTTTTTTATGCATTTCTACACATACTTATACATAAATATGTATGCATGCTGTTTGCTTTTTTTTTTTTCACTCAACAACAGGCCTTGATGATCTGCCCACCTTCTGTCCTCTCTTCAGGGCCCGAGGCTTTTCCCACACCTGGGTTCTCCTCCTTGTACCTACCCAGAAAGCTTGTGTCCAGCACCTGAAGCCTGGCTACATCCCAGACCCGCTTGACACCAATGTTCGGTAAGTTGAGGCCCACTTTCCCATTGCTGTGGGGTTCAAGCTGGAGGAATGTTCTCAAGTTCAAGGCCACAGCCAGTGCTACCTAAAGAATAAAGGGCAAAAACAAAGGAGCCTGAGGGTAGATAACAAAGGAGTTAGTGCCAATGTGCTGAAAAGAGAGCAGACATTAGCATGCAGGCCACTCCCCCCATGCCCTTGGCAGACACTGCTAATCAACCCTGGCACACTCTCCCACTAAGCCTGGGCACAGCTACCACCAATCAATTAGGAGTTAATATCCACTTATATTTGCCTTCCCTACGCAAAATGTCAGGGGTTCTCAACACCAAGGCATTGCTTCCCCATGATCACCATGTTTTCAAAGAGATATACAAGTTAGGATATTAAGAATGGCAGTTAGAGTGGAGGACGGAAAAAGTATGAGCTTTGGGTTCAGACAGACTTAGGCTCACTCTGAGCTCTACCAAGGTGTATGGGACCTTGGTCAAGTTACCAATTCTCTCCTAAGCCTCAGCTTCTACAACTGTAAATCAGCATAATAAAAGGATGTAGCTCAGCAGGGTGCTTGTAAGGGTTAAATGAGGTAATGCATGGGCCAGATCATCTTTCCAACTTCTAGACATTTGAGTGCCCCAGAGCTCAGTCCTCAAACCTATTTTCTTCTTCACGGAAGCTCTCTTCCTAGGTGATCTCATTCCACTTGCAGGGCTTCATATATCATCTTTTCACTACCCTACTAAGTGAAGCCAGAAAAGCCCTTCAGTGGGCAAAAGACCTACCTTTTCCTTGCCTGGCTGGGGAGAAACTGACTTCCTCTCTAATTTGCTCCCAAGCTATGCCTCACAGCTTCCTTTTACCTTCTTGCAAGATTAGTGTCAGGGAGAAGTGGTACCCAATCCTTGAAGGCTCTAGGGGCTTTTTACCTTGCCATGGACCACAGCATGTTCTCCATGAAGGATGACTTTCCCCGGAGCAGACACCAGCAGGACTTCTGACAACATGGCTCCTGGGAAGCCTAAAAGGGAAAGCCAAAGAGAAGAGCAAAGATCCCCAGATGTTAGAATCTGCAGGAAGAAATCTTAGTTTGGTTGTTTATTTATTTTTTCGGTAACCAGAAGACTGAAGGAAGAGATCTTGGGGAATGTCTAGTTCAAGGCTATCATTATAATAAAAAAGCAGTTGCTATCCAGCAGTTGCTATGGACCAGAAAGGCAGCACAGTGCAGCAGTCAACTGGACACATCAGATAGATCTGCGTTCAAATCCCAGCTCTTCCACTCCCGAGTAATGTCATCTTAGCTAACTCACTTAAATGACTATGGACCTCAGTTTCTCCACATGTTATATGGGGACACAATAACTGTACCTACCTCAACGGGTTGTTGGGAAGGTTAAGTTAATGCAAGGGAAATACTTAGCAGTGGCTGGCACATGGTAATCACTCAATTACTGATAGCTACTTAGTACTGGCTCTGTTCTTGATTTCAGCTTTCATTACTATTTAGTACTACTTCTGTTGACGGTGGAAATTCAAATAAAATCAAAGACCATAAAGAACTCTCTCCTGGATATTTAGGCTGTTTCCAAAGTGTCACAATTACAAAACAAGGCTGCAGAAAACACCTGTTACGCCCCGTTTCGCACACTTACGTGAGGTCTCTGCAAGACAGAGTCCTGGAAAGTGGCTTGCAGGGTCTACATTTTTATAAATAACTCAAAACTTATGCTAAACTCTTATACTAAAACCTCAGTCTCACTGAGCCAAGTACTGTCGTGATCCCCATTTCTTTAGGGAGAAAACCTAAGGCTCAGAGTGGGGAAGCCTCTCTTGCTTGTCTGAAGTTTAAAATCACTGTCAAGATTCGAGGTTGCCGACCCCTCAGGACGGATTGTCAAAGTTGGGGAAACTGAGCCAGAGAACCGGGCGCCTGGCTCAGGGTCGTCCTGGTCTCGGACCTTGCGGCCCCCGGGCCCGCGCCCCCAGCGTCTCACCTGTAGCCGCCGCCACTCCTCTTGGCCGGAGCCGGAGCAGCTCCTGTACTCTGGCGTCCCAGAGCGCCCGTGCCCCGTGGAGAGGCGGCCTCTTCCGTCTAGCCAATCAGAGCGCTTGAGCCGGGAGTCCCTTTGCCAATTGGCTTGAACATTGGCCAATAGGTGTTGTAGCCAAGCAGCCGTGGGTTTCCCCGCCCGGCTCCTTCCATGAACCAATGGGAAACAAGTTCTTGGGAGGGTCCCGCCCTGGGGCGAGAGCTACGGACCAATGGAAAATGACGGCTGAGCGGTGGCGCGGCCGGCTGTAGGTGGAGTCACCCCGGGGCCTGGACGGGAACCTGGTGGGGTCAGCTTCCGTCAAGCGGCCTGGATCATGGCTGTGTGGGGAGTGGGAGGCCGCCTAGGCCTGCGCGGGTGCCTCGGCGCCGGCAGGCTCCTAAGTCCCCGTTTCCAGAGCCGCGGCCCTCAGGGCGTGGAAGACGGGGACAGGTGAGTGTTTGGCTGGGAGGGTAACGAACACCAGCCTTGAATCGGGGTGTCGTCGCCATGGGTACGTCACAGCGCCGTGAGGTCACCGCGGCAACCGGCAGGAGACATCCCCTGGGGGGGGTGGTGGTCCTGACGTCACTATGGCAACGTGGGCAGCGTGGGCGCCAGAGACCAGGAATTACTTGGGCAAGTAGGAGCGAAGCCCAGCTATCATGAGTTAGGGCAGGGCATATCCCATGTGGGCCAGGAGGGACCTCCACTCAGATTTTGACCCGTGTCGAAAGCAGTTCACGCTCCAAGACACACATACTCCACCACGATCTGAAGATGGCTTTCCTCATATACCTTGAAACTTACACCCCGACCCAGACCTCAGAACCTAGAGAGGTACCATGGATTCATGGATTCATATATTTCAGAGATCCAGTGATTTGACCTTTAACCTTGTAGTGTCACGTTTTTAATTTTGAGCTATATATTTGTTATGCTCTTATATAAAAATGTTACTTTTTGAACCCTGTTTTGGCAAATCTTTGTTTCTGCGTATACTTGAAACCTCATAGAGTGGAAATGGCCCAGGTTTCTTTCCCTCCAGAGGACCTGACTTGGTGGAGTAGAGGGTGAGACTTTAGGTAGGATAGAGGTTACAGTTTGTGCTCTGGAGTAGGACAGTCTTGGGCATGAATCCCAGCCCTACCTTTTCCTTCTTGGATGACCGAGGAAGTTGAGTCTGACTCTGTGAGCTACAGTTTCCTCAACAGTAAAAGAAAGGTAATAGGTAGTACCTATTTTTGGGGCTGTGGATAGACTCCAGAGATAATTCCAGAAGATAATGCCTGTAATCCATTTAGCACAGTGCAGGGACTACGGTAAGTGATCGGTTCTTTTAGCAAATATTTATTGAGCATCTACCTTGTGCAATGCACTGTATCAGCTACTCTGCAGATACAGACGTGGGCAAGACACAAAGCTTGCCCACAAAGTGCTTGCAAAGTGCTTGTTTGGGGGGATGGCCAGGCACGGTGGCTCACGCCTGTAATCCTAGCACTCTGGGAGGCTGAGGTGGGAGGATTGCTTGAGGTCAGGAGTTCAAGACCAGCCTGAGCAAAATCAAGAGCTGGTCTCCACTAAAAATAGAAAAATTAGCCAGGCATGGTGGCACACGCCTGTAGTCCCAGCTGCTCAGGAGGCTGAGGCAGGAGCATCGCTTGAGCCCAGGAATTTGAAGTTGCTATGAGCTAGGCTGATGCCACAGCACTCTAGCCCAGGCAGCACAG